TGCAAATATATTGCACAATCAGGAAAAGCAAATGGTAAGGTTTCAACAGCAAAATTAACTTGGCCAGATTTACACTAGAATATATTAAGCTACCATTTATCAGGAAAAAGAGGGACAAAAATATTACAGATCTGCAATATGGCAGAATGAACCATGCTCCTGGAACCTTAGCATGTGCAAGTCGTGTTCAATTTTAATATTGCATTAACAGGTTTTTAAAACTTCATTTCCATATTTGCTTTAAAATAAAAAGACTGGACAGCTTCATAGCATTTACCTGGTTCCAGTTAAGGTTTGAAGTTTGCACCCACATTGCTGGTGAAAGCAGTGGAGGAGAGATGTCTAGCTTTGCTGCTCCCCATCAGTATTTCTAAAGCACCCATCACTGTCTAGGCACTGTTCACGGAATTACAGAAAATCGTTGAACGTTGCCCAGAAAAGACCATCTCTACCATCCTATTTTTTGGGGGGGGTTGCCCTTGCTTACCTTTGAACACCCTCTTACAATGTCTCCTGAAGCACTTACTTATTTTATAGACTTATAAAAACAATTTTAAATAATCCCAAAACCATTATGTTATCTTGTAACTACTGTCTCCACCACATTCCTTAGGGGTGTCTTAAATCTCACTGTCAGCAAAAAAATTTTCTGATATTCAGCATAAATTTTCAGTCTCATCCCACTACTTAAAGCTCTTTGAAGCATGCACAATTACTCTCCTTCCTTGCTGTTCACACCCTTCAAATATTTGTAGGCATGGCCATTGCTTAAGGCAGCTACATGTTGAGATCAGGTTTTCTGTGTTAAATGTGCACAATTATGCATATGCATTTGCTTTCCACACTTATGACCACAAACACCTGATTTTTTGAATGTGTGCATGCACATGACCATTTAGCTAACAGAATGTCAAAGCTTGGCATGCATTTGTATGTGTCCATTTGTTGTGTGTTCAAACAGCGAATCCATACATATCCATCAGTGCCTAGGTATTTGTACATGAATAGTGGCAATATGGGTTTTTGGTCTTGTATGACCTGATCCATCTCACATTAGAGTGAGTGAGAGAGAATCTTTCCATTGACATTAATGAGTCATGAATTGGGCTTCTCATGTGTATTAATAAAGTAATCTCTTTAGACCCTTGGGCATTTTATATCTGTTGGGTAATGGGGTGCTCAGCACTGAACATAGCATTCCACGTGTGGTCTCACTAGGGAAGTATAAAGAAAAACTCTGTGTCCCTGCCTTTGACTGGATGCCTCTGCATATGCAGATGAAAAATCTCTTTGCCCTTTTCTGATGCTTTATTACAACTATTTAACCTGGAAGTGGAAAAAAGCACTACAGAAGAAATCTGTTGTCATTTCATATTGTAGCTAGCATACAAAATGCATAGAGCTACCTTTATGTCCTGCCCCCTCTCCTCTGGATTTGTTTTGATCATCAGCCAGATCAGAGAATTCGGCCTTTTTTTAAACCTATCCTGGTTTGCATTCTACATGCAGTAATAATTTCAGTGGCAGCCATATAGGTGTCGTTCTGTTGGGAAAATCACTTTATATTGATATACTTCTTGTGAAACAAACAGAACATAACAGCAACACAGAAAGCTGGCAGTGGAAGCATGAAGTCCTTTATGTACAAACAGAGAAGTTGTAATCATTTTGAATGTCAGATTATTTCTAGATGGCTTTAAAAAGGAAATGTGAGACCCTAAAACTAATGTGCAAAAGAATGCAAGAGGAAATCCTTATGAACAAGATTATGCAGCATGGTAGGTTTTCTGTTGCTAATCTATAGGCTATAAAGGAATCCACTGCCAACCTTATGCCTGTTAATAAAGAAGTCCACCGCCTAATCCCAAATGCACCTTAAAAATTCAAATGAAGCAGAATAATTTTAATAGTAAAAAGAATCTTTGGTGTCTTTTTATGGAAAAATATCTTACTAAATCTTGAATTTGCAAACTCAGATGTTGTATCACTGTAGCTACATCTTTAGAAAGCTGTCACCCAGTAAAGTGTTTTTTTATATATTTTTTTGTTTTGAATATTTGCTTATGCAAATATAAGCTTGAGAATTTATACATTGAAAAAAAACCAGAAAATTCTCCTCTTTTTTTAAGATTCCAGTGCCAGTCACAACTCTGCCCAACCTCCACATATGGGCTGGAGACCCTGTGCTCCTGCCAGTCCTTCTATTCCCCCTCTCAATACAGAGTGAGCTGAGATTATATTATGTAAGAAGAAGTTGCAATGAATTTGTGCCAGGGTATAGAGTAAAGGTTGTCATGGCAGCAATAGAGGGAGAGGGCTTCTGGCCTCTGTGTGATGTCTTCTGCTTTCTAATCCAAACAGGTAATGACCGATGTTGGAAACCGCTCAGAATTCCCTCAATTGTCACGCTGGAATTTCAAAATTGGGGGTGACAAACTTGTGTGTGAGACCAGGAATTTTTACTTGTATGTACTGCAATCAGTCATAAAACGACAGGGTTACTTAGGGCTAGTCTACACTGGCAACGCTTTAACGTGGCTTGTGTGGTCACGGCAGAGCACTGGGAGAGAGCTCTCCCAGCGCTCTAAAAAAACCACCTCCACAAGAGGTGTAGCTACCAGCGCTGGGAGCGCGACTCCCAGCGCTGGGGCACTGTTTACACTGGCGCTTTACAGCACTGAAACTTGCTGCGCTCAGAGGGATGTTTTTTCACAGCCTGATCGAGAAGGTTGCAGCGCTGAAAATTGCCAGTGTAGACAAGCCCTTAGACTGTAAGGTCCTTGGGGCAGAAGCTCTCTTTGTCCTGTGTTTGTAGGATCATGGTCCCTAGGTGTTTCCTTATTACAAACAATAGTAATAGTGTTCATTGCAACACAAGCAGAATATTTATTTTTGTTGCAAATAAATAAATGTTTGAGATTTATGCTGAAATCTCTGTGTCCTTGGTCCTGAAATACCACAGGTTTTATTGAGTCTGAGGAGTGAGATCTGCAAGGAATAGACAGGCTCCTGCAGGCAGCTCCAGGTCAGGGGCAAGGGGCCAGGTTTATAAGGGGACTTATGCTGAACTGTTTTCTCGCTATGAAATAAAATGCAACCTTGAAGAAAAGGGACTGAAATCCTGCTGAGAGTGGTTTTTGACCAATGGTTTTTGACCAATAGTAAGAACTACTCTTGGCAGTGTTTACAGATTGGGCCCCAGGAAAATCCACCCAATTTAAAAACAAAAACCAGAAGCATAATTTTCTTTTTGTAGAAAGACCAACAAAGCCGAACCACACTTCATCCTAGACAGCATATAAGAAAAAGGTCATGTGTCAAGAGACCTCATATTGTATAACTCCTGTACTGAACTCTCTCATTGGCTAAGTAACATTTAATGTCACAAGGAATCTAGACTCCTGAGCAAAACTATGGAGACCACAGAATTCAGTACCCCCCCAAAATTGAGGTGAACAAATTTCATTACATTAAAAAAAGAGTATTCCTACTTTACAGGCCTGGCAGCCTAAGATAATTCCCTGTACATACATTGGCACATGCTTTGGAGGGCAGAGCTCATCAACTACAGGCCAAGCTGCTTATGGCCACACCAGATGGCTCTTTTCCCTCCACAGCAGGAACTATTGTATATGGACAGGTTTGTTTCCCCCATCCATAGTCAAACTCCAGCTTAACCTAGATTGGGAATTTCGTTTCTGAGGTTCAGAAGCAGGCATCATCAGCTAAACTGTTCTTGTCAAAGCCTTGGCGGATGTTTAAACTTTTGGGTTAGCATCATTTGGAACTGTAGATTACTTAAATTAATAATGTGTAGAAAAAAACAGCTAGTCCTCCTCCACCCCTCGGAAAGCATATCATTCTTCATAGTTACATAATTTAAAAAAATGTTTGCTATATCAAAGGGGCAAGTGAAAATTTGACCCAAAATTTAGATGTTGTCGAAACAAACTTTTACGCAAATTCTAAACCCAAAGAAATGTTTTGATAACAGAATTTTAGAAATTCAACTACCTCTCCCTTGTGTTCTAACAGTGTGGCTGGGACCACATTGTATTTAACCAGTTCTTGAAAACCATACTCCAGTCTGAGTATATTTGGCAAGGCTAGTAATGGACCCCAATGCCAAAGACTTGTAATCAGTTTCCATCAGGTTTACCACTGCCTCTAACAATCAGAAAAACACCTCTGTGTTAAAATGGTAAAAGTTTTGCTTAAATATTTGTTCTTTCCTTAAGACAGAATGTGTTTTGTGTGTTTCAAGTTTTGACACCAAACCTTTCACTTAGATGGGTGATAATTAATTAAAATCTCGATCTTAAAAATATTAAAAACCAAAGAATTCAAGTGTAGTTCTTGTCTGGAAAGTGACTCTTGCTCATAATGACATAGGTGGGTTCCATGTTTATTGTCTTTCAATGACTCCAAATCAATTTTGCTCAGTTGACTAGTACTGTAAAAAGAATAATTTTTTTCCCTAATGCTTACCATCATCATCACCAGTTAAAAAAAAAAAAAAAAAGATACTGCAATTGGCATTTAGGTCCCTATCTTGTAAAGAGAACTGGGCAGGCAGATTCCTGCTTCCTCATGGTTCTTGTTGCAGGATTAGGGTTGTTGCTGATGTATGAAGGAAAATGGATTCCAGCTCTGGCTTCCAGAACTTTTACTTAGGCTGTAGTCCTAACAGGAGTGAAAACAATTTTTTTGTCCAAAAGTTGCACATCAGTAATTAAGAGTATCCAGGAGCAGAGCTGCTGAGTAAAGGTGCCATTTTGTTTGCATAGTCTCTTTTCTGACTGTGACAGCACCTCAAATTGATGGTAAGTAAACTCCTCAACATATGACTTTTTCAGAATGCTGCACTGTGTGCAAAGCAGCTTCAGGCTTCTTAAAGGTGTGCAGCCTGGCATTCCAGATTCCATCCCAAGGCTCAATATAGCCAAACCGCATAGTGACTAATAACGGCTTTTCTTCCCTTCCTTATGTCATTTTTTTAGGTGTGAAAATTTGCGTGTGTACAAGCTGGGCCTCTTTTCAGGTCTTTGGTGGATGTTAGCACTTTTCTGCTGGATCAGTGACAAAGCATTTTGTGAGATCTGGTCTTCATTTAACTTTCCGTATTTGCACTGTGTATGGTAAGTACTGTGTGTAAACTCTGTTGTTTCATTTAAAGAAAAGAAGCCCTTAATACAGATGTATGCACATAGGCTGTCTTGTGCATTGTATGTTGTTCCTTTCACCATGATGATCAGCTTTACTAGTAAGACTCCCAACCAGTAGTGTTCACACATCCCATCCACTTGATAGATTTATGTGCCCTCCTGGTCTATTTAGTTTCTGCAGACTCTAACTTCACTTTTAATGAAAACTAAGTTTCTAGCCCTTACGAATGCTGAAATAACCTTCCAAGTGTAAACCAATGCAGTGTTATCAGTCTGAAACAATGGGTCTGAGAGGTGACAAATCTCTCCATCCTTAAAAAAGCCATGACAGCAGACAGGTAGACAAGGAAGGTCAGAGCTCAGTGCCACTCCTTCACACCTATCCACCTGTGAGCAAAAGTCCCTTTTATTCAAGACCATACTCTCAACGTTCTCCCCCAAACTCTGTGTAAGTGTCTTTTGCAGCATATTCAAAGGTCATCAAGTTTGGACCAAGAATGTTACAATTCATTGCATATTTGTAGTATAGTTATCTATATGCTACATCTTGTTAGTCCTAAGAGGACAGGGATTGACACTAGCCAGGCTCAGGAGGGACAGGAGAAAAGGGTAGGGGCTGATTAGTCTGAAAACTTGGTGATATATTTGATATCTTTACTGAATCCACGTGACTTTTTTTTTCTTTGTTTTTCATTCTCCTCAGGCACATCCTCATTTGCCTTGCTGCTTACCTAGGCTGTGTCTGTTTTGCCTACTTCGATGCTGCCTCCGAGATCCCTGAACAGGGCCCTGTCATAAAGTTCTGGCCCAGTGAAAAATGGGCTTTCATTGGTGTCCCCTATGTCACCCTCCTCTGCGCACATAAGAAATCACCTGTGAAGATTACATGAAATCAAGCACCTAGTGGAGGGGACAATCTATTTATTTTTTCATCACAGACTGTACTTAGGTAAAGGTAGTGGCTAGGGTTGTTTTTTCTGACTACTATGCATATGGTGTTCACAAGTGTTTTGTTAATACATGGTAAAATATGACCTTTCCTCACTTTTCTGGAGAGGAGGCCAGAAGGTTTATTGTGGTGCTCCTGAACATTTATATTAGAACTCTGTATTGACACTGGTTGGGTTTGTTTTGCACTCTGTTTTTGATGTAGCATCCATCATGATATACCGGTAATTCTTTCCAAATATCAAAGTTAAGGCTATTTTTCAAGGTTGGCCAAAACAGCTGACTGTAAGAGACTGATTCTCTTTTCATGTTGGTTCTGCCAGAGCTCTATTTAGTGAAGGAACAGTGAGGGGGACAAAGGTGCCTTTAAGCCATCTTTGTGCCTCCTCTATTCTGTGCCCAGCTCCGAGTATACGTTAGAGCAATCTTGAGCGTGCTTTAATTTGCACCTGGATGCATTTAGCCATAAGTTGTCATAGTGGTATTCCAGCGATGTTTTTTTCCAAAGTCATGTCTCCACATGTGGACTGCAGAGGGGGGTAGTGTAGAGCCATTGTGGCAGCTCTGCACTGCATGGGAAATTCCCCAGTAGCTAAATACATTAGCAGAGCTGCAGAAGAGGATGGCAACAAAGGAAAATCGGACCCAGAATTGTTACACTGGTGTAAAACAAGAGTAAGTGAGACAAGGAACAGGCCTTAAATCCAAATAAGAAATTCAGGAACCCTAAATTCCTAATGTTTTCCTCAAACAGTTCAGAATGGAATGACGGTGTCTTTTGGCTAAATTATCTACAGGATGCTAATGAGTATCAGCTTGTGTGGGGTGTAGCGGAACCTGGTAGCCATTACAAACGTATTTAAAAATGTATATATTCCCAATAAGCATATGAAGATAGTTATAAAAATCCCCTTCTATCTCTGGGCTTAAACTTTACCACATCTGGAGAAAAAAGATTAAAGGGTGAGACTTTCAAAAGCATTTGATATTGGCCTAACTGCTCCCACAAAATTATATGGGAGTTGTACCAATAACTTCAATGGGAGCAGTGTTCAGCCAATACTGAGCAGTTTTGAAAATCCCACCCTAAACTATTAACACTAAAATTTGGATTAAACTATTAATAAATAAAACAAAACCCTAGACTCCAAGTCCAGTTGGTGAGAGTTAGTTTCTGACTAAAGCCTTTCAAGTAGAAATGAATGCAGTTGTATCCTAATGCCCTAGTAGTTGTATTTAGTAAAGGTAAATGACCACTTAAAATCATATTTAGGGCCTGCATGTCCTTCCAATAAGCAGTGAAGTTTAAAACTTCAGTGACCTTACATTCTTTGAAGGAATGTGTGGTATAATTTTTGCCATTTGTATCAAGCTGTCTTGTAAAACATTAGGGACAGTCCAAAGGGGTGGTATCTGAATCCAGTTTAGTTTTAAGGCTGCTGTTTGGTTTTGACTCCTAGTTAGGGCTATGGTTGAAAGTCACTTGCACTGAAATCTTGCAAGCTGTTTTCACAAGTTTTTAGGACAAAATGATGCAAGGAAGGAGTCACTGATTTTCTGAGACTTCTACCATCTTTAACTATTGTGATCAGCTGTTCTTGAGAGAGAGGGTCCTTACTGTTTGAGATCCAAATCAATACCAAAACTGTAGGGGTGGGGCTTCAAGGAATAGGATTTGAGGTTCTGGTTTTGGCCTGCCTCTCTAAAATATTCAACTTCTAAGCAATATCTTACTTTGTCACCAATACTAGGCGCCAATGTGATATAATCTCTAATGTAATATAGAAAGTTCCCCTCCATTTAAAATATATATTGCTACTTGCAGTGATAAAAGTTGATCCTTAGTTTTACAATATATATTTTGAAAAATCAAACTGAAGTGCTCATACAACATTAGTTTATTCCAGTTTGTTAAATATGCAAATATAATAATTGTTATAGCTGTAATAATTATGCTTTTCCAGTTAGCTGAGGCCTTTATTGCTTTACTTGGGATCAATTTGGGAGTTGTGAATGTTACCCAGATTTGGTCTGTATATAACCAGCCTCAGGGATATTTCTGTTTTAACCTTATTCTAACACCTAACACTTAATTTGGATTAGATGGGAAGTGTGTTGTGTAGTTTTAGGAAGCAAGGCACGGTAATTTACGACAAGTGTTCCAGAGCTGTTTGGTGGAACCAACTCTTCAGTATCACATACTGAGGGCCTGATTCTTTGCTATCTTATATCAGTGTTGGCTCCATTGGCTTGAGTGGAGTCACTTCTGACTTACACCGGTGTAAGCGAGAGGAGAACTGGGTCCTGGAACTTTAAGCATTCTCTTACACTTGGCTGCTGTGGTCACAGAAATGTACCTTATAACAGTTTTTACTTGAGAATATGCTACTGAGAGATGAAAACCCAGATCCTCTGCTATGGAATGGTGCAGCTCTTGTGGAGCAGGGGCAAGGGAGGATGTGCAAAGATCTGCTCCCCCAGTGCTGGTCTGGATGTATGTTGGTCTGGTCCCCTGGTGTAGCTTAAGTCAGCCTCGAAGGATCAGCTGGGTGTAGAGAAGCCTCAGCTAAACCTTGTATCCCAACGGCAGGGCGGGGAAGGAGGGTGAAGGAGCCACTACCTTGAATCTACACCAGCAGAGGGTTCTCATATACGAGGCTGTACCTCCCTTTGTCAGCTATGCTAGACTTAGGGCCAAAATATGCCTGTGGTGAAGTGAATATTGCACACTGGAGGGTCTGATACAAATAGTCCTGTAGAAAAACATAGACCATTTCAGCCCAAATGCTACTGAGTTCTTTATTACAGAAATACAAAGGGAGGAAGCATCCCCAAAGTCTGAAGAAAGTGATACGTCACACTAGATTGATCAGCCCTTCCCATTTCAAGAGCCACTGTCTGTGCCAGAATAAACACATTCCTCTATTTATTAGAACATGGTTCTAGAGGAAAGACAAATATAACACGGTATGAACCAAATCGTACTCTGCTCCAATGAACACGTTAGTTTAATTGGAAAAGTCATTAGTGACTAAGGGGATGAAAAGATGCGGCCTGATTCTCAACTGCCCTGCACCTTGTGTTATTATTTCCACCAGTGCAAAGTGCTACCAAAGCACTAGCATCAATGCAAAGTGCTACCACAACACTACTATCAATGACCACATGAGATATAGGGCAGTTGAGAAGCAGACACCTGAAAGCCATAAACTCTTTCCCAATCAGTGACTCTTTCAATCTTCTTAAATTACAGTGGGGTTTTTTCTCTCTCTCTCCTTGCAGTTTTCAGAGTAGGAGCCGTGTTAGTCTGTATCTGCAAAAAGAAGAGGAGTACTTGTGACACCTTAGAGACTAACACATTTATTTGAGCATAAGCTTTCGTGGGCTAAAACCCACTTCATGTATATATATCCTCCTACTGTATTTTCCACTACATGCATCCGATGAAGTGGGTTTTAGCCCACGAAAGCTTATGCTCAAATAAATTTGTTAGTCTCTAACGTGCCACAAGTACTCCTGTTCTCCTTGCAGTATATATCATTTAGGCTGGGGGGGAGAGGGGGGGACCTCTTTTAAGCAGGCTTTGCAGCCAACTTTTTTTTCACTTTAATGGTCCAATCCTGTTCCCATTAAAATCCATGGCAGAACACTGATTGGTTTGCAGGAGCAGGGAGTTATTTCCCTATAGTTCAGAAGTATAACAGAAACCAAGTAGAGGTGGAATACCCAGAGGCCCATATTTTCAACAGCATCCTTTGATTTTGGGAGGGGGGGGGTGTCCAATTTGAGGCACCTAGGGCTTGATTTTCAGAGGTGTTGGGTGCCCAGAGCACTAGATGAAATCAGAGGGAGCTGCAGAACATCTGACAAATCACATGCTAGGGGTGAGATTTTGTGTGGCCCCTCTAAGAAGTGTAGCAGATAACTCTGAATCTAGGGGGAAGGTGATTAAGGTGGCCTTAACTATCTTTGCACTGTCCTGATCCTTGGCTGCTCCAGGGACTGAAACGGCCCCCAGAATAACTTAGACCCCCCAGGGCTATGTAAGTCATGTCAGACTCCCAGCACTGCCCTATGGGTACGGCCCTACCAAATTCACGGTCCATTTTGGTCAATTTCATGGTCATAGGATTTTTAAAATCATAAATTTCATTATTTTAGCTATTTAAATCTGAAATTTCATGGTGGTGTAATTGTAGGGATCCTGACCCAAAAAGGACATGTGGGCGGGGTCACAAGGTTATTGTAGGGAGAGTTGTGGTACTGCTACCCTTACTTCTGTGCTGCTGCAGGTGGCGATGCTGCCTTCAGAGCTGGGTAGCTGGAGAGCGGTGGCTGCTGGCCAGGAGCCCAGCTCTGAAGGCAGAGCCGCCACCGGTAGGGATCACATGGTATGGTGTTGCCACCCTTACTTCTGCAGAGCTGGGCCCTCAGTCAGAAGCTGCCACTCTCCAGCCGCCCAGCTTTGAAGGCAGCAACGCAGAAGTAAAGGTGGTATGGTATGGTATTGCCACCCTTGTGCGCTGCTGCTGCTGGCAGGGCGCTGCCTCCAGAGCTGGGTGCCCAGCTGACAGCCGCCGCTCTCCAGCCACCCAGCTCTGAAGGCAGCACAAAAGTAAGGGTGGCAATACCATGACCCCCCCCCCAAAATAACCTTGTGACCTCCCTGCAACTCCCTTTTGGGTCAGGACCCCCAATTTGAGAAACGCTGGTCTCCCCTGTGAAATCTGTATGGTATAGGGTGAAAGCACACAAAAGACCAGATTTCATGGGGAGAGACCAGATTTCACAGTCCGTGACGCATTTTTCTCTGCCGTGAATTTGGTAGGGCCCTACCTATGGGTCACAGCACTACCTAGAATCTCGACAGTATAGCATGTCATGGCCCAGTCCTCCAATTCACCCCTCCCACTCCTGGACCCCCCTCAGTACACCCCCTATGTCAGGGTTTGTGAGAGGATCCTCACAGGGCAGCCTTAAGACTGTCTTGTGCAGTGCCTGCACTGGAGGAAACCTCGCTTAGCTGGAACTGGGGCTTTCAAGCTTCTTTATGCCTGTCCAGTCCATTTTACTCCGTGTAAAGCGGCCAGAGTGGGAGTGAGGATTTCACCCTAGGTGTGTCAATATGGGCACCCCAGAACTAGGGTTCACATTTTGCCAATAACGTGTAATAAAAACAAATACAAATCTGCTGTGGAACAAGAAGAAGTAAAATTAGTGGTTTAGCAATATAAAGCGAAGATGCTGTCTCATACCAGCAGGCTTCACGCTAGCCTTTAGTTGATAACATAAACCACATTTGTTAACATTGATTGGCGTTAAGATACAGAGTATTTGTTAGTACTCAGAATAACCATGAAAATGCAAATAATTGTGAACACATCAGAATTATATGTAAAATGTATAGTACATTCCCATAAACTTGAAAAATAGGTGTTAAGCATTTGGCGTTTCTGAAACGTATTAAAGCCTGAATAGATAGAAATGAGAATAGAGACCACCCTCAATCCTTAAATTAAATTCTGAATTCAGTGGTTAGTGTTTTCCACCAATATGATTTTTTCCCCTCAACATTCTAGGCCAGATCTGCAGCACTTCTTTGAGCAGCTTCAGCACGTAAAAAAGGACCGTGAAGCCAACTTAGCTAGTTACTTGGGGAATCCCTGGGTGATATAGAGCCAGTGACAGCTGCATGCTTCTCATCTTTGCACCCCATCCCTAGGGAAAAGAGCATGGGGCCAGTCACTGCACTCTGACTACCCAGCTGCTGGAATGGCCCCTTAAGGCTGTGAACAGCTGGGTACAATTTAGAGCAGCACTGAACATCTGGGCTGTTCTAAGTTGTGCTGTGGGTGGGTGCCTGAATAGCACCAGGATCAGGAAGACTCAAAAGACTTGTGAATTCACATTTGCCCTTCTCACATCCCACCAATCCTACACTAAGGCCAGCTCTGCCAGACAGGAGAATCAGGCCCTCTGTGTTAGGTAGCCGGCAGCACATTTCTGCAACTGTGGCCAAAGAATGGCACTGGACTTCAGTTTGTAAGCAGAATAGTTTAATTAGAGGGTTGACTCTCCTGTTAACTAGGGATTCGTTCCTCTTCAGATTATGTGCAATAACCTCTTTTTTTTGTAAAGACAAGTTATATTTCCTATCTGTGTGCTAGAATAAGGTCCCCCCCCCCCCCCCCTTTTCGAATAAGTCTTACTGCTGGACAGAATTTGCCCAGGGACAAAAACAGGTGCACCAGCAGGTACTGGCTTTAGGAAACAATGTTTTCAATCTTACAGCTATTTGGTGGATTAGCAGATTTAAAATATTTTGACTTCATCTTCTTTGTATAACTTTTCTATCTGAATTCATTCTCAGAGATAACAAGGGGCCAAATTTTGCAGCCCTTAATTGAGTCAGACTCCCACTGAAGTTAATTGGGAGTTCTGTACCCATGCTTAAAGGAAACCTATAGATTACAGGCATAGGCTGTCTTTCTCGGGAGTTTAAAGCAGGTAAGCAGCTTGCTACCTTTCTGAAAATTTTGGATCTTCTAGAATCTAAGAGTAGGATCCTACCTGTGATCACCCCCATTTTCTTCAGTGGAGCTATGTTGATTTATACCAGCCGAGGATCTGGCCCTTCTCTCTTTTGGTGTCTGTGAGAAACACAATTTTTAAATTAAAATCTTTTGTACACAACCTGTTTGTTAGAGTTTATATAATAATGTTTGTTACTCTCTACTATACAATTGCTGTATCCCTTCCCTCCCTCAATAAAGTTAGTGAACACTCAGTTTGTGATATTTCTCAGGTATTAAAATAGTTATACTACCAGCTCTTCATGAGAATTCTGGTGATTCTGGAACTGATCATTTTCATATTGCCTGATAAATCCCCAGTTCAGATAGGGTCTTTTTAATACTGAGTACTAAACTGTTTTGTATATGGTAAGTCATTTTCAGCATTGTTTGTGAGACTCGTGATTGCTGAGGTTCACACTACTAGAAATGATGAGAATAAATTCTACTTATGCTTTTTATTAAATAAAAAAACAACTTTCCACATTTTAAGGGCAGGCTGTGAAATCCTGATCACTAATCTGACTGTTCACTGGGAAGTAGTTTATGTAAATGAGTGGCAATTGAGCATCTAGTTATCTCAGAAGTGAATGAACGCATGTACATGTACTCTGTATGTTTTGTTAAACTAACCTCTGGCTTCTGTACTTGTAATATATGTTTATGCAAACAAAAAACATTCCATTCATGTACAGAAGTCTATTGCAGACCTTACTGTGTAAGGATGTATTCCACTCTAAATAAGTGCTCTCAGTCCACCTTGTTTGAATACTGACTTTTCAAAATGTAACTGTTGCACTTTAAACTCCTTATAAAATATTAAAATAATTTAATCTCTTCTGTCAATGCCACATGGTTCTTTGCTTTGTTTTAATTGTGAATTGTGGCCTTATGAGCCATAATGAAAACAGAGCTCTCTGAACTTCAAAGTAAAACTTTAACCTTTTTTCTGAACTAAGGCCCTGATTCAGGAAAGCAGCCGTATCTAGGAAAGCACTAAAGCTTTAAACATGTGCTTAGGTGCTTTCTTCAGCTGAGGCCTAAGGTCCTGATCCTGCAGACACTTAAGCACATGCGTGAATAATCTCTGGTGTGTAAAGTGACTTGAGTGCATGAGATTGGGGCCAAAGGGCCTAATCCAATTCCCATGGGAGGTGAACTGGGCCTTGTATTTTTAGATTCAGCTAGTGTATTGGAAGACCATTATAGTTGACTATTTTTAAGATTGTTGTTCAGAACCTTGATCACTTTTGTAGGGGTGTGTTCTTTATAAACAAAAATATTATTTTAGGGTATAACTATTTTAATATAAAGACTGTGTGTGTATGTATATAAATAAATACAACTTCCTTCATATAAAATTGTTAAGCCTTATGGACTTCAAAGGGTCTGATTTTCAACCCCATGCTAGAGTAATTAACCACTGGAATAATTTACCAAGTATCATGGTTGATTCTCCATCACTGACCGTTTTTAAATTAAGATTGGATTTGCTAAAAGATCTGCTTTAGGAATTATTTTGGGGAAGTTCTATGTCCTGTGTTATACAGGAGGTCAGAGTAGATTATCATCATGGTCCCTTCTGGCCTTGGAATCTATGTGCATTTACACAGAGGCAAATGTGTGTCTACTTTTCACAGGCATAACCTGGAGGTACACAGGCATGTCCCGGAGGTAAACAGCCTTTATGTATACATGTTCTTTTAAATGCATATTTAACTTGTGCACATAT